CGCTGCCGACGCGCTTCCTCGCTCTTCCCGCCTTTTTCTGCTCCTCTCCCTGGGGTCGCTGAGGTGGAGTGCTGTGGTGAGTACTGGGGGGGCTCGGGGCTTGCTCGGACTGGGGAGGGGACAGCCGCCGCCGCAGCGTCCTCTCCCCTCCGTCTCCTCGTCCTGCCCTGCCCTTAACGCAGATCCCCTTGGGGCTGCAAACAGCAGCTGCCGTAGAGCGGGGACGTGGCCGGGGGCCTCTGGGCTCATCGGCGCTGGGAGGAAGGCCCTGAGGGGCCCGCTCGTGCGGGCTGGGCTGACTGGGGCCATCGGGCATCCCCCTGCTAGGGACGCGGGTCGTGGGTGGCTTCCTCAGGGTTGCGGAGACAGCCGCTTTCGGTGTCGGATGGCGGCAGTGTCAGCGTGCCTTGGTGATCCGCACACAGCTGCCTGGCACCGTGTGCGCCCCTTCTTGTTTATTTATTTTCTCCGCAATATTTCATTTTTACTGTGGCAGATAGGGCAGTTGGAAGGCTGCCCCGTGACATGAAACTGACATAACAAATCCTGTTTCTTACACAGCCAGCAAGCTAAATGCACACAGGCATTTGCTTGTTGGGCATTGATGGTCTCCTGGCTGCCTGGCAAAGTGGGGCTTTCTGGTGGAATCTGTGTTTTAAGAACAATGTATTAAGTGATACCAAATTAAAAAAAAAAAACCCAAACCTAATTGAATATTACCCGAGTATTGCAGCAAGGCCTCCTGACTGCCAATTTATCCAATTCTTTGCTGTCTATTGCTCTAACTTTAGGATCTCAAAGCTCATGATCTGTTTGCTGGGAAACGGCAAGCTCATTTTTCTTGTAACTTAGGTTGTGACTGTTTTCACGAGAGTATTTACAGCGATTATAACTTAATTTTAGTTTTTATAATTGGTAAAAAAACCTGCTTTATTATGTTCGGATATCTTTATGTTAAAGGACTTCTTGTTCAGTTTTTGGAGGAAAACTTAAAAGTGAACGTTTAGAGGACAAGATTCTGCTTGCTGCTGAAGTAAAAAAAAAAAGCAAGATCTACAAGTGGGGTGTTATGTCACTGAAGGTTTAGCATGGGCCTAAAGCTCTCATTTTGGAAGAGTTAAAATGATTGTGGGTGGGGATTTTTAATGTGTGGAAAACTTAGAGAAGTAAATCACGTTTGCAGGTCAATGCATTACTTAATATTGACACCTGTGGCTTTTAAATTAATGGTAGCATTCTATTTTAATAGTAAACTTGTGTCAGTTAAGGAAAAACATAAGTGCTTGCAAAGACCAGGGATTTAGCTGATGTAAAACTATGTGTCCTGATTTGATGAAGAAGCTATATTAAGACAACCCTGAAACAAAGTGGTTTCTAGTCTTTGAATAGCCACTGTAATCCAAAATAGCATTCAGTTTTCTGGTGTGATCTGACACTTCCTTTTTCCTGTGCAGACTCTTTATTAAAATACTGGGTATTCATTTAAAACGACAAAAAAATTACAACTGGAATAATACCCCAGATTTTTTTCATGTATTGGGATCTTTTCTGCTTACAAAAAATATTTCAGTCATGAGCTGTGGAAATGACTTTGTGAAAACTCTTAAGAAAATTGGATATCCAAAAGCTGATGAGCTTAATGGAGAAGATTTTGACTGGCTGTTTGAGTCTTCAGAAGACAGATCGTTTCTGGAGTGGTTTTGTGGAAATGTAAATGAGCAGCATGTAGTGTCTGAAAAAGAACTGCAAGATTTTGATCGTCTCCTCGAGTCTGGTAAGCCCATTTTGGAAGGAAATGCACTGGATGGAGTCCTTAAAACCTTGAAGCCCATGGATTCAGAGAACAGTAGCCAAGAACTAAAGAAATTAGAGGATGAGCTTCAAACTCTTCAGAAGTTAAAACAACTTCAAATTCATCGCCATAATAAGCTTCAAATGATGATTTCTGCAAACAGCCATCTGTTACAAACATTAAAAAGCAAAGAAGAGGAGGCACATAAAGATCTGAAAGAAGGAATGCAAGTGTTTACTGCAGCAAATAATACACTTAATAAAGAACTGCAGTCTCTTACAGATGCAGCCAAGAAACTGGCCACTTTCTTTACTGCTTCAGATTCGGAACAAGGGTCAGGTCCACCTGCAGTGTTTTTTTCCCAACTTTCTTTGGACAAGTATTTGTCTCAGGAAGAACAAAGCACTGCAGCACTTACCTCGTACATGAAAAAACACTTCTATCAAGGTATGTCTGAAAAAGTTGAAAATTCACCTGAGGGCAGCTTTCAGCTTGTGGATATAAGTGAACAAGTCACTTGTGATGAGACTGACGAGGTTTGTGAAGAGAGTCAAGAGATGGCCAGGCTCCAAACGGCGTATATTTGTGCTCAGCATGAGCTGATTCGGATGCAAGCTGAAGAGGAGAGCATGAATTCGGCTATAAAACATGCAGAGAGCATGCTGCAGTCCCAGGTAAGCCACAAAAGGTGATAGAAGATAGTGGGGTCTTAGACAGGCGTGTTCAACTGCATCTAATGAAAGGAATTGCTGAGTTATTGTTATTTCAACTGTTTTTACATAGTAAAAATGCACTTTTGTGAAGTTTTAGTCTTGCCAATGAAACTCCTCTTGTGAAGTAGCTCCAGTTTCTGTAGTTAAAAATTATTTGATGTGGCAGAGTAACTTTAATGCTTTCCAGAATTACACCCTTAAACCCTAGAATTTAGTAGTACCTTTCCAGTTTAACTTTGAAATTTCAAATCATAACTGCCGCTCAGTTTTTTGTACAAGCAAAAACTTGACTTTGGTTGAAATTTTGTGCTATTGAAGAACTAATATGATAAAAATGTTACTGTTTATATTTCACAACATAAACTTGAAAAGTCTTAGTTCACCAACTCTTTTGAAACCCAGGTATTTGTAATACGGTGACGAGTTTTAAATACCAAATGAATGGGTCAGATAGTTGAAGCCCTAGAAATCTCTCAGCAAGTGAGTGAAGGGGCAGATATGACTGAAGGAATTTAAGAATGTGAGGAAATTATAACAGAAGGAAAAATATTAGCTTGTGCAGTCATGGACTAACTTGTCCATGGGGTGCTGTGTCAGTTTTCATTTCTGGGTGCTAGCATATAGGGCTTGATTGGAGTAATTTGAAAAAGATTGATTCTGATAGCAGTGTTGATACTCATCCAGCTGAATATAAAAAGATGTTTGCATGTGAAATTGCAGTTGAGCATGCTTGAAATACAGGTGCTAAGTAAAATTCTAGGTGTTTTTTTTTTTTTTCCACCCGCAATAAACTGTTCTCTGGACCTGCAGTGGAATTAAATTACTATTTATTGAAATACATTTATTTGATATCTACTTTTAAAATCTGTGTTTCCCTTGTGTTGCAAAGTTCTGTAAAACTGCTTATGGAGTTTTCATTCAGTTTTGTAGATACAAAAGAGGAAGTGATTTTTAATGTATCCTACATGAGAATTCGTGTGAACTGAAGAAATATGTTAGGGAAGTGGCTTGGAGGGATCCATGAAGAAGTTGATTAAGTATTTTTCTTTATGCAGGAGAGTGGAAAACCAGAAAACCTGGATGCCAAAATATCTAGTTTAAATCATACAATTTCAACAATTAAACAAGAAATAACTCAGATAACCAATGAAGAACTGCTTCCCCTTCTGAAAGAGAATGCACAGCGTTTGAGCATGCCAGTGCTGAAAGCATACTTGGATCACCAGATTGCTCAGCAGGACTATTATGCTTCAAGACAAGACGAAATATGCAGGCATTTAATAAGACAGAAAGCATCATTTGAATTTATTGAGCTAGCCTGTGAAATGGAGTTGAAAAAGCATAAGGAGATCTGCAGTCAACTGGAGAATTTGGTAGAATCTATGAAACAGAGCAGTAATGAGTTGCAGCAGAGACTACAGGCGATAACTGAGCAAACGCAACATGCGAAGCCAAAAAACATTATTAGTTCAGAGGATGGATTATCTTGCAGGTAAGTGTTATAGTCACTATTCCAAAGTAAGTCAGAGTTCAGTGTTATTGGGAAGCAATCTTCTATTGCTGTGTTCTTGTCCTGTAATGACAGGACAAGGGGTAACGGCTTTAAACTGAAAGCAGTGGGGTTTGGATTAGGCATCAGGAACAAGCTCTTCACTGAGAGGGTGGTGAAGCACTCGAACAGGTTGCCCAGAGAAGCTGTTGATGCCCCATCCCTGGAAGTGTTCAAGGCCAGGCTGGATGAGGCTTTGACCAACCTGGTCTAGTGGAAGGTGTCCCTGCCCATGGCAGGGGGGTTGGAACTAGATGAACTTTAAGGTCCCTTCCAACTCAAACTAGTCTGTGATTCTATGATACTACTAATTAGTATTTTGAATACTGCATGGAAGCTTTCAAGATAGATTTGCCTCTTGCTTATCCTTTGAAATTCTTCTCAGGTTTGCCTGAAGAAAAACTGTTAATTATCAGTCTTGTTAATATTGCTGGAGCATTCCCAAGCAATATCCAGAACACACTGAATGTTGAAAGCCAAATCTCTCTTGTACGGTGCCCTGATCTAGGACCTCTTGAAAGTTGTTCTAATAGATGCAGAGAGCTGTTAATAACAGTGATTTCCCAGATCATATGCATGGCCTTATCAGCTTAGCCGGCAAGGACCCCCATGTGGTAGAGGAGAGGAACGACTACTTGAATAGATGACACATGTTCAGCTCACTTAACTGCTTGATTTGCCATCTAGCTTTTAGTGTCCTGTCACCCGTGTAGGAGTCTATTTTTTCACTGTCTAAGTAACTAAGTCTCTTGTAGCTTAGGTGATAGAGTAGGAATGTGTACTGTATTGCTGTCACTTCAAGACTCTAAACCTTTTGATGAAGTTTATTGTATAGCTATAGTGTATTAATGTCAGACTTTTCCTCATTCTTTAAAATGGGCCTTTTAGTGTTTTTTAATAATTGTTAAGTGGTAGCTGAGTATGGTCTTGCACAGTGAGTAACTGCAAGAATTAAGTAGCATTGATTTTGCTCCCAGTGTGCATTTACATTGGCAACTTGTAGCATTTTTGTTTGGGTTTATGATGAAGTCTCCAAATCATTGAATCAGAAGGTGTCTGGCCACTTTTCCACTGTTTCTTTTTTTAAAAAAAGGCATTTTTCAGTATTCAGGTTGTGAAGGGAAGTTGAAGAAGTTAAAAAACCTTAAGGATTTGTAAGCAGAAGACACGTGAGAGAAACAGTTACTTTTGAAATACAGCTCCAGGTCTTATTAAAACCAATCTGGTTCTATATTGGGGGCTCAACTCCTGTTGATTTTAATATGCAGAGCTGGTAGTAGCATCTGAGCAAAGTAACGTGCAATCAAAGAATCATCATA